AGGTTATAATTTTGTGGAAATTTACTTTTTCATCCTTATCTTGAGTTGCATGAACATTCAGTCTGACTAAAGTAACTGACCCAAAACATGTACCCACCTCCAGACCTGCTCATTCTGGAATGTCTGCTCTATTGCCTGCCTAACCAAACATTATTCTTCCTTTGAGGGCAGATTTAGTTCTACTGTTCCATTGACTCTTTCTTATCCTTAGGTCCTTGATAATCTCCTGCTTGGAATCTGAGCAGAATGCAAGTCTGTGACCAGCTAGAGAAAATTGCTTTAAAAGGGCTCATATGATTAGATTAGGCCCATCTAGAGAATCTCCCTATTTTAAGGTAAAGTATATTACATAACAACCTAATTATGCTAGTAAAACCTATTACATCCATATGCTTGGGATTATGCAGACTGTGTTATATATACCAGAACTGGGCAGTCTTGGGGGGACATCTTAGAATTTTGTCTACCACCATTGGTAAGACTTGTACAGCACAAGGAGCTTTTTAGATGGGAAAGAAACATGCTTTAAAACTTCAAAAGTAGGGCTGGGAAGGTGGCTCAGTGGTAGAGTGCTTGCCTTGCATGCATGAGGCCCTGGGTTTGATTCTTCAGCACCACATAAGCAAAAAGAAAAAAGCCAGAAGTGGCGCTGTGGCTCAAGTGGTAGAGTGCTAGCCTTGAGCTGAAGAGCTGCGGGACAGCGCCCAGGCCCAGAGTTCAGGCCCCATGACCGGACCCCCCCAAAAAACACCTCAAAAGTGACTCCTTTGTACAACTACTTGAAATAATTTTTAAAAACCTCTCAAAAGTAAAACTCCACTAGGAGTTTTTGGAGACTGAATAAATTTGTTACCATCCCAATAATAACAATGCCTCCTTTTAAACCAAAGGTTTTTGAAGAGATTTTTACATAAAATCATTCTTCAGTCCTTACATTAAGTCTATAAAAGTGGTGTTATCCTACTTGTTCAAGGAAAGAAATTGAGGCAGAGAGAAGAAAAACCACTTGCAAGATTTATATCTCAATTGAACTGAAAAGCTGGGATGATTCCAGGTTTGTGTTCTTTATACCATTTAACCCATCTGTCTCTGGTTTCAATAGAGAAGCAGAAGGCAGGAAGGTTGATCCTGGCCCAGATTGTGGAGGGCACTTCTAACATGTGTCAAAAAAAAATATTAGAGGGCTAGGCATTGTGGTGGAGGTCCATAATCCCATCTAGACAGCAAAGAGAGGTAGAAGGATCATGGTCCTAGGCCATGATCCAGCTCCAGGTAAAATCACAAGATCCTATATTATAAAAATGAGCTAAGGGGAAAAAAACCCCAAGTTTTTTTTTTAAATTTTATTTTATTTTATTTGTGAACATACTGTACAGAGGGGTTACAATTGCACGGGCAGGATAATGCGTACATTTCTTACCAAGCATTGCAGCCTCCTCCTTTGTTTACCCTTCACATCACTTCCCAGCCTCCCCCCTCCCCCCCAAAACCCCAAGTTTTTAGAGGGTATATGTGAATCTGGGGGAGAAAAGAAACAGAAATGGGTATAGAGTAGTCATGGAGAGTAAAATAGTATTTTAGAAGTTAATATGGCCAATAATGAGGAGCTGGATGACAAAATTGGAGACAGGGATGATATGTTACACTTAAAAGACTAGGACATGAGCAACCCTCTGAAACTTGCTGCCAACTCGCAGGAAATATATAGAACAAAAGAACATGTTAAATTGCTCTTAAGTATATAAATCAGCAAAGAAGGTAGGCTCTCTCTCTTTCTCACTTTCTCTCTCTCTCTCTCCTCACCTCCCTAACTCCCCCTATTTCTACCTAGTAATCACTGCCCTCTGCCCCACCTTGGTCAAGGTTCACTGTGTTGTCCCTTAGGGATCTAGGGTTGAGGCCCGGTGGTAGTCATTTCCAGCTGGAGCTAACAGTGCCACAATATGCTTAGTGCTTAACTCAGTGGGGACAAATTATTGGGCAAGTTTCAGAGGAAGTTGCTGTATCTTTGAAAGCTACCCATCTGCTGTAGTCTGAGTAGGCAAGCCTGTGGGAAGAGGAGATGCTTGACTTGCTTTCCTTTTTTTGAGAGCTGGGGAACAAAGAATTAATCTAGCAGTTGGCAGGAGGATCCTGGCAGCTTTCTGTGAGGGTCTGTACTTATTCTAAAGGTCCAGGAACTGGAAATAGAATAATGAGTAAAAAGTCAAGTTGAAGATCACTGAAGGAAAGAAAACATTTCAGTATCTCTTACAGTACTTTTCCTTATTATTATTATTATTTTGTTGGTTGTGGGGCTTGAACTCAGGGTCTGGGTGCTGTCCCTGAGCCTCTTTGTGCTCAAGGTTAATGCTCTACCACTTGAGCCACAGCACCACTTCCAGTTTTTGAGTAGTTGATTCAAGATAAGAGTATCATGGGGGCTGGGAAGGTGGCTCAGTGGTAGAGCGCTTGCCTTGCATGCCAGAGGCCCTGGGTTCGATTCCTCAGCACCACATAAGCAAAAAGAAAAAGCCGGAAGTGGCTTTGTGGCTCAAGTGGTAGAGTGCCTTGAGCTGAAGAGCTGAGGGACAGCGCCCAGGCCCAGAGTTCAGGACTTTTCTGCCCAGGCTACCTTTGAACCACAATCCTCAGATCTCAGCTTCCTGAGTAGCTAGGATTATAGGTCAGAGCCACTAGTGCCTGGCCTTTCTCTCCTTATTTTTGAACAAGGGTCTTAGATTTTCATTTTGTGATGGGTTTCCATATAATGAGTAACTGGTTCTATGTGTAAAATAATATAAATTTCAGAACTTGAGTTTATCATCTATAAAATGGGGTGATAAAAACTAAACGCTGCATATTCCTGAATTTAAATAAAGGCTTATCCCAATGTCCAGAATTTTGGATGTGCCAAGCACTTGTTAACTTAAAATAGATATAGATATAAGTTCATAGTCAGTAAACTAAAGGGAAAATATAAGCTGGTACTGGTCATTCATGCCTGTAATTCTAGCTACTCAGGAGGTTAAGATCTGAGAATCAAGGTTCAAAGACAGTCTGAGCAGGAAAGTGCATGAAACTCTATGTCTAACTAAGCAGCAAAAAAACAGAAGTGGAGGCGTGGCTCAATTGAGAGTGCTAGCCTTGAGGGAAAAAGCTATTAGACAAGAGTCCAACTCCTGAATTCAAGCCCCAAGTATCAACGCACAGACACACACGTACACAAAGGGTAGGCATGACAAGGGAATAGTTAAGGATTTATTAATATATACAGCAGAGATAAGGGAGAAGAACTCATAAAACCAAGTATTTTTTTTTCTGGTATTTACTTATTTATTTGTAGGTCATGGGGCTTGAACTCTAGGCCTGGGCTGTCCCTGAGCTCTTCAGCTCAAGGCTAGCACACTACCACTTGAACCACAACGCCAGTTCTGGCTTTTTTTTTTGTTTATGTGGTGCTGAGGAATCAAACCCAGGGCCTCACGCTTGCAAGGCAAGTGCTCTACTGCTGAGCCACCTTCCCAGCCGCTTGAGGATCTTTTGTTTGGCGACTTTAATAAAAATCCTTCTGCCAAAAAATGAGGAAGGCTTGGCGCCAGTGGCTCACTCCGGTCATCTTAGCTACTCAGGAGGTTGAACTATGAAGATCGAGGTTCAAAGCTAGCCCAAACAGGAAAGTCCATAAGACTCTTATCTCAAATAAATCACTCAGAAAACTGGAAGTGGCCGCTATAGCTCAAGTGGTAGATGCTAGCCTTGAGCTGAAGAGCTGACGACAGCGCCCCAGACTCAATGTTCAAGCCCCACCACCAACCAAAAAAAAAAAGGAGAGTAAGTTTGGGTAAAAGGAACTTGAGGTTAGAACAACATGCAAAAGATGTCTTAAAGCATGCTCTGAGAAGATTAGGCAATTAGTTCTCACCTACTGACCTGTAAAAGGTGCATGCTTACACATTTTCACTTGTAGGTGAACAGCACAGAGATAGATACAATAACGTTCAAGCAGGTTTTTTTGTTTTGTCTTTTTAGGTAGTCTTGCTATGCTGTCCAGGCTGGCCTTGAACTCTGGGGCTCAAGTGATTCTCCCTCCTCTACTTCTAGAGAGATAGGACTACAGAGCTACAGAGGTTCACATCCAGGCCTGGCTTCAGGATTTTTTTTTTTAAACAATGAAAAGTAGAACCCAATGGGAGACAATTATTAGGAAACTGGCTACAGAAAAAAAGTTTTATTTCATGCAATGGAATATGATGCAGCCACTAAAAAGAATGAGGTCGATAAACTGAAAGATAAAAAGGTAATTTTATATGAGGAGTGAAAAGGCCTTCCTAAGCTCAAGAAAACTGTTGACTCTCATTTACTTAGAAAATACATCCTTAGAAGGGACTTGCATAGACAAAGGAGTAGAAGAGTACACACCCAACTGCTAACTGCAAATTGTGAGGAGGGCAGGGGGAGCAGTCTGTTAATCAATGGGACACTCACGTTTCTCGGTGCAGTTCTGTCCTTTGGATCTTTTAGGTTTTCATGTTTTACTAAGAGGAGATGGAAAGGGTAGTTTGACGGCCTTGTGTGAAGGGAAAAGCTGAGGAGTTTTGGTTACTAAGTTTCCTCAGACTCTACCACGGGCTGAGGTGAGGAGACCCCGCCCCGCTGAGGTGATTCTGCAGATCCGAGGCGGGAGGCCGCCAGGGGGGCGGGGCCATCCGTGTCCGGCCGCCGGCTCCGCTCCCACTATGCCCTTATAAGGAGCGCCGCGCGCTGGGGCTCGGGAATCCGGTTGCAATCCCTGCGGCGCAGCCCCAATCCTAGGCCCCTCCCTTGGGAATGGGGGCGGGGCGGGACTTTGGCGGCGCCGGTGGTGTGTGTGGGGGGTGGAGGTTGAGCCTCTCGAAAAGGAGCCAATAGTAGTAGCAGCTCCGGCCTTGAGCGGCGAGGCAATTGGACGCTGCGACACGAAAGGGCGGGGCGCCCCGTGAGGTTAGTTACGCCGAGGGAAGCCCGGAGTCTGTAGTCGCTGTTGGGAGTCTGTCTCTCCGCGGGTTCCTTTCCCCGCAGATCTTGTTCTCGGTCGCTCGCGGTTCGCCGCCCCGCTAAGTCGCCGCGATGCCGGTGTTTCATACACGCACGATTGAGAGCATCTTGGAGCCGGTGGCGCAGCAGATCTCGCACCTGGTGATTATGCACGAGGAGGGCGAGGTGGACGGCAAAGCCATTCCTGACCTCACGGCGCCCGTGGCTGCGGTGCAAGCGGCGGTCAGCAACCTAGTCCGGGTAAGCGCTCTGGGCCTAGGCCTGGGTCGGGGCTGGAGCCGAGGCCGTGGCGGGGGCGGGGCCGGGGGCGGGAGACAGCCCCCAGGTCCAGGTCTGTCTAGCAGCTTCCATTCGCGGGCTGGCTGGCAGTCTCAGTACCAAGATGATTCGGATTCGAATGTTGATTAACCCGCCCGATGACCTTGCGCAAAGCCCCCGAGCCTCGGGGAGGCAGAAGGGAGGTCTCAGTTTCCCCGTCTATAAAATGGGGGCAACCATAATGAAGCCTGCCTTGCGGGTGTGTTGTGAAGATTCTGCGAGGTGTTAGCGTGGCATTTTGCCTGTCGCTGGCGCCCACAAATGATAATTGTTAGGCAGTCCCCCCTGGGCTGGCTGTGGTTCCCCACGGTGACCGCCTTGCTCTCCACTCCTTTTTAGGCCTGTGAGTAGGGAGTGGGTTTTCCTCCCAGGGACTCTGCTTTGAAAGCCGCTGTTCTCCTTTCTAATGCTTTCTAATGCCTGGCATTCCGAGACCTGCCTGACTCCACTAGCCCACCTCTTCCCGCAGTCGCATTTCGGATCCTTTTATCCCCACTGATCTTGGAGATCTCTGGTCTATATCCACTCCTTCTCCGCAGGGTATCTTGTGTTCATACCTTTACGCAGGAGACCCGTTTATTCTCCCTCTTGAACTACTGCCTTTCAATTTATTTCCTCCTCGTAGATTTCCACCTGGCTTTACCTTCTGTCAAAGGGTTTCCTTCCACTGGGGCCTTTCCTGACTCGGGGGAAGTCCTGCTCTGCCCCTCCTTCTGGCAGGAAGCAAGATGGAGCTGCCAGGAGAGGCCTGTGGAATCTAAGATCTCTAGCCCCCTGCCCGAAAGAAAGCTGGGAGGTCCTCTCCCTAGGCCATACTTCCTGGTGGCCACTGGCCCTACAGGTCACTGTAGCCCACAGTTGTGACAAATAACTGAAGTAATTCCTACAGGAGGTGAAACCTTCTGAAATGGGGGAAAGAGATAGCAGTCTGTTAACAGTCCTCTGGCTAATGTCACTCACTTAACCCACTCTGGGTGGTTGACTCAGACCACTGTTGCTTAGGATGAGCAACGGTGGAAAAAGTTTATACCTCGCCCTTACAGAGCTATGTGAACAGTGTGTGTTAGGATAGTTGGTAGGTAACTGTGGGTCTGGGTGGGGCTGGGACAATTTATCTGATTTGAGTAGTGCACTTAGAGAGGAACTTCAGTAGTTGAAGGTCTCCCTGGGTTTTATGAAACCTAGAGGACAGAGAAACACCACACACCAAATTCTTGTTCTTCTTTAGAGACTCAGTAAAGATCTACTCAGTAAGAATACTGTATTGACTCAGAATGTCCGATTTTACATTGTGCTCATTCTCTTTAAAATTCATTTCACTCTGATTTCAGAGTACATTCTTAATGTAGTGCTGTCTAACATGGCTGTATTCCAGGCCTCCATTTTTCATCAAGTAGGAAACAATGTAAAGAGACAAGGTAATAGAGTCTCTATGTTGTACTTCAGGAAATGAAATCTTAAAAACCACATGTTGCACTTGGAGCACAGTTAGTGCAGTCAAGGGGTTGATATCTGGTTAGGCTATTTAGAGAAAAGTTATTTATGAGCTTCTATGCTATGAATTAATAAGCATTGAATTAATACTATATGAAGAGCATTGCAATAAATTAGTGGTTCTCATATGCATGAGAATCACCAGTGGGGCTTTTCAGATATAAAAATGTCCAGCTCCCACCCCAGACATCGTGGAGAGCTCTCCAGGGGTGAGGTGAAGGCCTTTATATTTTTAGGAAGCTCCATATGTGATTGTCATAAGCAACTTGAGTTAAAAAATACTGTAATAGGCATGGAGACAAATTCAAAAGAAGTAAGGCTAGTCATAGGTTGAAAAAAATCTCATCTAGTTACAAACTGTACAACACAATCAAAAGAAGGATTTTGAAATTTGAAGTCCATATGAATTAGTAGAGAAATGGAAAGGTTTGTACTGACAGTCATGAGCAGAGGTTCTTCTAAGTCACCTCCAGGTTTTAGCAAATGGATTGTCTTGATCGTAATTCTGGAGGAAAGTTGAGAAAAATTAGAGATGAAGTCAGTGCACGGCATATGGGGAGTTTAACCAAAGACCTTATCCATCTGGATGAACAAAGAGAGTGGGAGGGGGAGCATAAGAATGGTGTGTGAGGAAGACTGTGGGTTGGCTCTGCGGAGGCCAGAAGATCTAGCTATTACTTTGATTTCTCAGTGCCAATTGTGGCTTTTGAATATATGGGTCCCATATGTGCCTCAAGTCTTAACTAGATTGTGTCTAGAGAGCAGGCCTTTATATATATATATATATATATATATATATATATATATATATATATAATTACATATATATATGTAATTTTTATATAATTTATATATGTATATAATTTTCCAGTTTCTAACCTCCACATTGAGCCACAGGTGGCTTAGTAAATATTGTTGGAGAAAAAGGAACTATGGGAAGGATGAAAAATGAGAAGACCTTATAAGTTGGTTGATTATGAAGAAAATGAAGGCTTTAGATGATGCAAGGAAAATGGAGAAGGAATTAGCCAGAAATGTAGTAGAAGACATAATAACTCTATAATGGACTCCTCACCTTGTTTGGGAGAAATATATGGTATTACTATAAAATAATGACTAAGTTTTGCGCAAATAATCTGAAATTTGCCAGTTGGTATGGTATATACCTGTGATGTTTGCTACTCAGATCTCAGCCTCCTGAGAAACTAGGGTTACAGGTGTGACCCCCCACTCCAGCACTTGGCTCCCAAATTTGTTTTTTTGGGGTTCAGAAAATATATATTTTGACTGATGGGGCATTAGTGAACCCACCTACTTCATTTACTATTTATTATTTAACATTCTTGTTCTACATGACTTTTGGATATTTGTAAAATTAAAAATTACTAGATGAGCTGGGTGTTAGTGGCTTCTCCTGTAATGTTAGCTACTCAGGAGGCTGAGATCTGAAGATTGCGGTTCAGAGCTAGTTTGGATAGGAATATCTGTGAGACTTTTTATCTCCCATTAGCCATCCCTCTAAACTGGAAGTGGAATTGTGACTCAAAGTGGTAGAGCACTAGCCTTGAGCAAAAAGAGTTCAGGCCTTAAGTTCAAGCCCCATGGTGAACAACAACAACAACATTTACTAGATGAGCCTGGTGCCCATGGCTCATGCCTGTAATTCTTGCTACTCAGAAGGCTGAGATCTCAGGATCACGATTCAGAGCCAGCCTGGACAGGAAAGTTTATGAGAATCTTATCTTTAATTAACCCCCAGAAAACCAAAAGTGGAGCTGTGGCTTAAAATGGTAGAGCACTATCCTTGAGCCAAAAAGCTCAGAGACAGTGCCCAGGCCTGAGTTCAAGGTCCTCAAACAGCAAAAAGTTACTAAGTGAACATGAGCTTTTCAATTGTTGGAGCATGGCCATTCATTCATTTACAAGACAGGTATTTTTAAGACCTCTTTGAATGTCAAAGAATATATGTATATGTATACACACACGAATAATACCATTTTGGGAACAGTTTTGTTGAGAAAGAATTTGCATACCATACCACTTATTTAAAGTGTACAAGTCATTATTTTTGGATATGTTTTCTAGGTTGTGCAATAATCACTACAGTCTAATTTTAGAACATTTTGACTCTTTCAAAAGAAACCCCATACTCATTAACAGTCATTCATTGTTTTCCCCCACCTTGTTTCCCAAGCCTGGCAGCCAGCAGTTTACTTCCTGTATACTGTAGGATTTAGTGTTATGGACATTTCATGTAAGTGGGATCATACACTATATAGGCTTTGTGTCTGGTATCCTTCACTTAATGTTTTACTTTCTTCATGGATCAAACTTCATTCTTTTTTGTTTTTCCTAAATTAGACTCTATTGTATACAGTAAGGCAACTTTAAACACAGAGAGCAAGTTCTATACAATAATAAAGGAGGAGGGAAGTGGAAGATGGAACAGAGAAAGTTCACAAAAGTTCCAAGAATAGGCTTCAGTAAGCAGTGTGAAGAAGTCAGAAATCTTTGTCTGCTCAGTGTATGTACAGCATCGTTTATAAATTTTCTTTTCTCATTGAAGTGGCCTATAGAAAACTGTCAGTCTTTGATGTGTCCATTACAGTCATGTCAGTTTTATTAATGGGGCTTCAGAGACTTTGCCTTTCACATGGCATTTGAGGGCAAGTGTAACTATTCCTTGGGCTCATGAAATATTTATTTGGGGAGTTTTTGTGGCCTTGACTTTTATGGGCCTCACCCATATATCTTAGGCACTTGGGACCAGTGCTGGGACAAATAGTAGCATTGTCTTCACTTTGGGCTGATAGATGGGAAAGGGTATACTGCTCTTAAAAGAGAGTTTAGCAATTAATTTTGTCATTTTGTAACAATCAGTTTTAAACTGAAGTTACTTTTTGCTTTCATTTCTTTTGATTGGTGTTAGACTATTTTAGTTAAAAACAAGTAACAACAATGATAGATTTGTGAGTATTTCTTTTCTTAATACTTTTTTCTATATTTTCTTATATTTTTGTAGGATGGGTTTATTTCACATAAAATATAATCTACAGTTCCATGTATTTTTTTCAACAAGAACATAATTTCATTTTTCTAGTTTTTAAAATTATATAATTCATGTATTAAGCAAAAATTAGTAAAGTAAATAGGAATATTTATATAATCTTTTACAGTTCTTGGAATACTGTCACGTTGGTGATTTTAAAGCAGTCCTGTAGGTAGCTATTGTGGGGTCCCCATTTTATAGATGAGGAAACTGCCGTTTAGAGAAATTAAATAGCTTCTCGTACAGCTTCTCTTATAGCTTGGACTCAAATTCAGGCTCTCCTAGTCAAGATTCTCTGCATTTTTCACTCCATTGTTCCATCTAGTGGAGGGAACATCTGGCTTTTGGGTGACATGAGGCCCATAAAATCATTTGATAC